GCCAACTCACGAAATTCATATCGTCGATAGAGTAGAGTCGTGCTGCATTTTTGTACAAAGAAAAGTTTTCATCTCTCTCAGGTCAGGAGCTATTGATATTTTACGGAAAAGACATAAATTGCTTATATCTCATGAAATATCCAGTAAAAGAGTCCCAAAGTTGGTGGGTGATCAGCATTCGGTAAGAGCTATGACCCCACAGAATTAGAAGTCCCTAGCTACTATAGTTCTTGAGTTACAGGAATGTCCCTACTTTGAGGGATTATTTTTTGACAAAATAATCCCGGACTCAAAGGGTTAATAGAGAAAAGAAATTTTCATTAGCACAATGGTGTATCGATCCAAATGACAAGAATAAAATAGAGTGTTGTAAAAATTTATGATCAGATAGCTAAACATTTATATCATTTTGCGCTCATCTTTCTCTAGTCAAATATTGTCATTAAAATGAAAAATAACAAGAAAATTGTATCTGACGAACATAAACAATTTACTTAACAATTAAACTTTAAAACAAAATTATATAATAAATTTCATTTGCTAATTTTTTTCTGCTACTGTTCCATCTACTCCAAAGTATGTACTAAATATATTTTCCAATTTTTTTTCAATTAAAAATTGATAAAATTGACCGAAATTCATATGATAGTCTCGACCTTTTCCATTATCACCAAACGAGAGTTCTTCAAAATTATCAAATTTTTTATCATCTTTTTCGATATCTTCTTTTTCTTTAATTTGTAAACGTTTCCATTGTAATGAGCGAAGACGAGACCAGAACGTATTTACATCTATATCATCTCCTTCAATCATAATAATACCAGGCTTACCCGGTAATGAAAATCCACATAACCGTAATTCATTTGCCCAATTAACAATATGACGTCGTTTTTCAATATTATAAATATGATGACTATATATCCATAGTCGACTTTGTTTTGTTGTTAATTGCTCTGTAGCATTAGGTGATATATCATTTTTAATAATTAGTGAGAAAACATTACTATCTTTAATATACATTAATAATTCAAGAATATACGGTTCGTTATTTGATGCCGTTTTAATAGTTAGAAATTCTTGTAATATTGAATGAAATTTTTGATGAATATCACGTGGAAAATAAGTACGAAGACAAACATCAGGTGACAGTAATGGATACTGTAAAGGATATTCAATTTGTAATTCTATAGTTCGCTAAATTTAACAAATAAAAATAATTTATTACTGAGATGATCATCTAACTTTATTCGATTAACAAACCTCTTACTTTTTCACCGCATTCTTCAGTGTGTTCAGTAAACTGATCATCAATATTTAGTTTGATAATAAAACTGAGTTTTCGTTCTATAGATTTTATTTTTCCATTAACAAAAGCATTTGCTTCATCAAATGCTATCAAATCATCTATTACAAATTCGCCAGGTAAAGAATAGAAAGATTGAAGAATTTCAATTTCGTTTAATTGTTGTTCAACAAATCCTCTTATTATTTCCATTTTTAATTAAAATATCCATGTATTCATCTACAGAACTAAAACTAAAACTTTTTTTCAACACCCAACTGATTCAACCCACTGATATTCTGGTTTATTTTCACTCTAATGTAGTGATATAAATAGGCAGAAGTGTATTTATCTCAAATTAAAAGATGGAACTTCCGGGACTAGCGACAAGAAGCTATTGACAGTCTCAAAATACACTTACACAGCACATTGATGCAACATTTTTGCATAATTAGTCCAAAGTGTAAATTTGGTTCAAGACAATCTTTCGAATAAAAAACATTCAAATTTCGAGAACGATTTAATACGAGCGTTTCCGTGTTATAAAATGACTAAGTCTCATATGCTGCACGATCTCCACCCTCATACGTGCAATTTTTTAAAATAAACTAATTAAATTTATAATCGTTTCAAAAATGCTGCTTTATCACCTGTGTTTTATCTCAAGACAAAAAAATGTTTAAGAGAAAACAAACAGTAGGATTTTAACAGTAAATTAACAACGTTGAACGTATTCTAAACAAACAAAACGACTATAATCAGATATAAGAAACAAATAATGATAATAGCAACTATATATGTCAGTTCAATAATAAAACAAAAAACTAGTGCATTTTTTATTATCCTACAGATCTTTTCTCAAATGACAACAACTATTTCACCTTCAAAAATGAAAAAAATTGTCCTACTATGATGAAAAGGCGAATTAAACTTGTTATGACATACAAATAAACTGAATAAAAAATATAGATCGTATCGTACCGCTAAGTACATATAATAAGAAAAGCTGAATTGGACGAACAATAACAAAACCAGAAAGGCTTAGCAAAATATCTTTATTAAGTTACATGAGATACATTTATCTAACAAACAATGATAGTGTAGTCCAAATTATTAATCATATAACGGTGTGGAAATTGAAATTATTTGATTAAAAAGCTAAAAAAATAAAATAACAACATATTTTTGAGAGATATTGGCAGTGAATAGGATACCCCATTTAATAATTGAAAAATTAGTCTCTTATTGTTCATCAGAAAGGTCTTAAAAGCTTTAAACCAACCGTGCGCAAAAATGAAAGATAAAAGAACTAAAGTTTTTTGTTTTATTTAAGTCTACGAATTTTATTTCAATAGTATGAGAAGTTGTTACTAATAAAACAGTATCACGTAAAGAAGAAAGATAGTTTGTTTTTTTTGACAATTTATACTGTCTCATATGAGAAACGTTTTTACATCCACGTCGTATCAGTTTACAAACTCGATAACTATAAACTTAAGTAGAGTAATCAGTTGTTATCGATTAACAAGATAAACATTCTCTTACCTATATGGATATCCTTGATATTTTGATCGAAATATAGATAATAGAAAACTGAAGAAAAATGCAACCAATATAATACCGAACACAGCCACGATTGCTAGAAAAATCAAAGAAAAAATACCTTATTTCTAGTTATAAACTATTGTATATTATCAAACCTTTTCTTTTTCCATTTTGTCCAGTTATTTTTGGTGCTTCATTTAACAATATCATACCCGCACAGACGCCAAAATGTAAATATTACTATTAAGGAGAATATCTACCTATTTTTTGGATCTTCAAATGAAACATACTTAAAAACATGCAACATTCTCTATATACAAAAAATAAATATGCAAACGAAAGAAAGGATATAAAGTAAGAAGACCTAAAAAAATGAAAAAAAGAAACAATATTAAATTTTCTGTCATGATTTTCTATATTTATTAGAAGAAAAGAGAATGTTTTCTCATTCAGATTATTACCACATATGTCTCTGCAACAAATTGATAACCAGAACTACCGCTAAATAAGCCCTATAAAAAAATAATAAAAAATAAAAACAAAACTCAAAAAATAGCCGAAGTAATAATAATAAAAGTAGAAAGTTTAATTTTAAATCAATGTACGAAAAACAGTAAAGAATCAAATACTAGTGCTTTCTCTTAGAAAATAAGAAATTTTTAAAGAGAAAAACAAAATGAGTATTACTACTGTCTTTTTCTAGCTATTTCAAGGATATAAGTTAGTAAAATAAATTGTGATTAAAATCTATTTTGATTGCGCAAACCGCTGACTATATATACCTAGAAAGGTTCGAACTTCTTGTGTAAAAAAACAACAAGAGAAAACATATATCTGAATAGATTCTTAAAGAATCAACTATCTGGCATTTTTTCTTCGGACTTCTGTTTATTAAATAACATAACTTCGATCAAATGTCATGCTTAGATTAACGCTCAGAGATAGATGTTAAACAAATACATAACACAAAGAGTTAATTCAAATCAATGTGAAACATGGTCAACTGGCCTGCCATTTGTTATTATCTCAAAGACATGCAAAGAAGCAGTGAGTGATCCACAAAGCAGTGAGTAAAATTATAATTTTTCTTCAAACTTCTGACGCAAAAAACGATGATAGTTCTGGTTACCAAATATTTTATTATTATTATTATTATTATTATTATTATTATTATTATTGTGTGGTAATTTGTCTCTGAAAATGAGAAAAATCAGTTGCTCTTTTCTTCCAACGGTAACAAAAACATTAATGCTTTTACTATGTAAGTTTCTGCTATAAACTGATATGATGAGTCACCATGAATCAGTTCCTAAAAGAAAAAAAGAGAGGAAATTTTGCTGTATTGTTTAATGTAAACTTTTTTTATTGATAACTATCAAAGCGAAAATAGCAACTAATTTTTCTTCATTACCACTGAATTTTTATTTTTTCCAAGAAACGGCGGACCAGATATCATGTTCCACATTTGTCCCGATATGAAGTAACTAATTGTTGCCTAAAAAAAGACGTAAACGAATTAGAATTATTTGCATTTTACTTACAATTTGTCCGGTTTGCGGATTGCGATGAAGAAATGGACTACCCCTTATAGTATTCCATATTTGACCAGAGGTACAGACTAGAATGACCAGCTAAATAAACGACAAGATCTAATAAATGAATACGACTTTCTGAGACAAAAAACCTACAGTGAAGCTATAGATTATAAAAAAACATGTGAAGTATGTCAACAAGTATTGAACAAAAGTAGAGATTAACATAAACGTATCAAAAAAATAAATTGAACTTGTTAATCTTTTACACTACGTAGCTCAGAGAGTGTCATATTAAATCAAATTTATTCCTAGACTCCTTTGAAGACACAAACAGTATAGTCATGAAAGGGAAAAGTGCATAAACCTAAGGAAAGAAAAGTAGATGCATGATCAGTTTTGCCAAAACTTGAGTAATACAAATTACTTACGATAACAGAAACTCCCCAAAGAAGGTTATTATATAAAAATTCGAGACTATTTCGTTTAATATACAATAAACCGGCTATCATTGTCACTAATAAAATAACTAATAGAAAACCAGAATAATTGGGTGGGCGAAACACATGAATCTAAATATACGCAAAACGTATCGAGTTTAATCTTATGCATCTTGTTTACATAGAAGTTGGACAAATTCTGTTCGTCATCAGCATTACGTACATGTATATCAGCACGATCGTTAATCCATTTGACGAGTTGTTCCGCAGAAAATCCCCATCTAAGGATCAATAAAGAACATTAAATAAAGAAATTTATTTTAACGCAAGATATGAATGTAAAGAAACTTACCGACTTATGTCCATGTAATCACCTTTTTTTGGTTTCATTTTTGGTGGAAAATGGATAAAAACCGGTGCAGAATTTAATTTCAACTAATAAGAACAACGACAAGCTGTTAAATGTACACAATCATGAGAACATATTGTACTTACATATTGAAAAACGTCACTACCCTCATCAAAATCTACCATAGCAAAAAATATTTTATTTGAAAATGCACTTGAATAACGCCACGACTGAGCTACAACCTGAAATTCATCGTGTGCTTGTCTATGGAAAAATTCAAAGAATGAATTACACAGTGGTAAAAAGGTCGTAGTATTTTGATTGTGACTTACTTGCATATTGCACATTGTCGTTGTGGTGATAAAGCCGTCAGCATAACAATCACAGAATAATTGCGTGGTGGAGTTTTCACATAATGTTTGAAACGTTCGCTATTCAAACGAATAACTGGTTTTTTCATCGACCATTCTGTCAATTGTTCGATCTTTTCTGACAGAATATCCTATGGAGGAAAAAGAAATAAGAATTAAACAAAGAAGAGCGCAAAAAGCAACTAACCTCCTTTCCACCAACAATACAGATACAAATAAAGACGATAGACAATATAAAATTCATCTAAAACAGAGTGAATGAAAACGAACTCAGTCAGGATCCCGCAGCTCATCTAAAACAGAGTGAATGGAAACGAACTCAGTCAGGATCCCGCAGCTCATCTAAAACAGAGTGAATGGAAACGAACTCAGTCAGGATCCCGCAGCTCATTCAAAAAAGGAAATCAACGCACTTTGACTTCTTTCAATTGATAAAATAAAACCGTTCTGCTAGCGAAAAATAAAAGTTCTTAGAAGGAGGGTCGTCGCGTCTTCTCATATCTTCATGTCACTTTTCGCGAATAAACAATCTTAGTCTTAGTCATGTCAGTATTTTTTACACTTCTGAACATCTGTTGAATAAAAAACTGGGTAAGAAAGTAAAGGGTGAGAAAAAGAATACAATATACAAAATTGTATTGTTTCCTTTTAGTTCCAAACAGTAGCTCCAAGGAGAAACTATTGATCCTGGTCCCTTGGAGGTACCAGTTGGAACTAGAAGGGGACGACGACAAAATTGATTGATAGATCAAAAATAAAGAGAAGCATTTTAGATTAGCAGCTGCATTAGCCAATAGAAAGTTTAGATTTCACTTGTTCTCTGGAGGAACAGAACTTTGTTTATCTCTTACGAAGAGCTGGCTAATAATAGCGATTGATTGTTTACCACATTGGTTAGAGGAATAGGTTTTCATTTTAGCACGCGATTAGGCGAGAAAAGATATATTTGTTTCAATAAGTGCCCGTCTGGTTAATTCTTCTTCCAGCAATCGCGACTGTCAATGACTTTCAAGCTGGAAATACGTTAAGGTTATATCTTGCTGTTTATTTCGTTTATTTTTCTTTGTTTTAGCTATAATAGATTCATTAGATGGAAGCTTTCTATTTTCATAAAAACAACTGTCGTTATGAAATCCTATAATATAATATGCGATTTCACCTCCTTGTCTGACTTTCTTAATTTTCAGACAAGCTACGACTGATTATTCAAATGTTCACCATGAAGACACCCTTTATAGTGAAGAATGAAAGATGTCGTCTGCAGTTGTGAAGGGGTGGCTTAGATGCTATAGCTCGTCTTTCGCTACAGAATCAGAAGACAATCAATAATTGATTTTCTTGATGAAACAAGCATTTGAATCAAATATAATAAGATTATCAGTAGTAATATATTCAAAACGAAACTGCTTCAACTTTCGCAAGTGGTGGTAAAATCATATCACCGGATAGAAAAATATTAAAAGCTTGTTCGATAAAAACCGGATGCAGATTCGTCTTCTCCATGGTCGATTATCTGGTACACGAAAACTTTTGGATCGGGGTACTTTAGAGAAAATTTTCGACATTGTTTTGCCTTTGATTTCATACAGTAACTTTTCGAAAAATTTTTGAGCAAGACCATGAGAAAATTTTTTGCGTAAGTACCCCGATCCAAAAGTTATCGCGTACAAGATAATCGACCATGGAGAAGACGAATCTGCATCCGGTTTTGATTGAACAAGCTGTTAAAATTTTTCGATCCGGGATATGCAACTCATTTAAAATTTATTAAAAGTCAATAATTCAATATATAGATCTATACATTGAATTAAATTTTAAAGTTAGTTAAGTTCTATATAGAACTCTGACTGTGGATCATCTAACATAACTCATTTTTAAAACCAAAATAAGAACGAAATAAAATCGAATTTGAGAAAAATGTAACATTGAAAAGAACACAACTATATTACCTACTCATATGAAACGTGTGAGTGTAAAGCACAGGAGACAAATAACGTTACAGTATACCAATTCATTCTCACAACTGTCTAAATCTTTTTGTTTTATTTTCACTTTTGACTTTTCTTGTTATTTAATGTTTAAACACCCCCAGAGTAGACCATTAATAGATCTGATCTTATAGTGTCCCCAGTGAATGTACTTGGTACAAGTACTTGATTATTTGTCTGAGTACTTGGAAAGTACGTGACAAGTTAAGCACTTGGCAAGTACTTGAACAAGAACTTGCCAAGTGTCGTCACTTGAATTGCTTCAGCCAAGTACTTGGACAAGTCAGTCACTCTTTTCTTTTGTATTGACCAGTTTGTATATAAACACCACCATATCAATCGTTATACACTTATAAAATAAACTTATATATTTCTACTAAGTGGAACAGATATATTTGCTCTACGAAAGTAGAGTATAGATCCAGAATGTGTATAAAATACAAAATAAAAATAAATGGAACAAGTATCTGACTGAACTTTTTCAAGTAAATTTACTTTCATTGTGTCAGCCAAGTACTTACATTTTACTTGACAAGTAAATTTACTTGGAAAAGTCCCCAGGTACTGTTCTAGTTACTTAAACCAAGTACTATATACCCAAGTAAGGATAGCATTTGAAATAGATTCACGTGCACTCGCTGTCCTAGTGAGTGCACTTTAGCCTAGTATTTGCGCAAGTACTTGGTTTAAGTAACTAGAACAGTACCTGGGGACTTTTCCAAGTAAATTTACTTGTCAAGTAAAATGTAAGTACTTGGCTGACACAATGAAAGTAAATTTACTTGAAAAAGTTCAGTCAGATACTTGTTCCATTTATTTTTATTTTGTATTTTATACACATTCTGGATCTATACTCTACTTTCGTAGAGCAAATATATCTGTTCCACTTAGTAGAAATATATAAGTTTATTTTATAAGTGTATAACGATTGATATGGTGGTGTTTATATACAAACTGGTCAATACAAAAGAAAAGAGTGACTGACTTGTCCAAGTACTTGGCTGAAGCAATTCAAGTGACGACACTTGGCAAGTTCTTGGTCAAGTACTTACCAAGTGCTTAACTTGTCACGTACTTTCCAAGTACTCAGACAAATAATCAAGTACTTGTACCAAGTACATTCACTAGAACGGCAATTTACGCACTAAGTGACAACCGATATGGCTCAGTATCTTTGGAGCTTGTTTTTCATTATCGCCACCCTAGTGAATGTACTGAACGTAAGGTGCTTGAATCCGGAATAAGTCTCTTCAGCGTATTCATCCAGGACACTGATATTAGTAAAAATATTGGGTAAGTACCTAAACAGACTGATTGGATACCCAATTATTGAAAAAGTTCTACTAAGGTGCCCCTGCACATTTCAATCATCGTTTTGTTTTCTGTGATGTACTATATAAATACGATCTATTCATATAGAATAACAACAAATGTTCTGATATTCCAGTAATTAATAACTCATTACTAACAACAACAATGATACCGAATCAAAGAAGAAAAACAACGTCAGTAGAAATAGAAGTAAGAGATGGTCCAAAAGAAAACACGAACATCGTTTCATCAACCTAGGATCGGAATGAACCTGTTAGCGCCGGTTTTTTTCCTCATAGTTTTAAATAATCCGCTAGAAAAAGCAATATGCAGATTCCAACAGTGTAAAGTTCCAGAAAAAATAAGTAAAAATGTTATTAGTTTTTTGTCTGAGTGGTTCTCAAGTAGCACATTGGAAAATATCTTGAGAGAATGGCAGTTATTCGGTGAAAGAAATAGTAACTCAGTTAAGTGTCGATAAATACCGCTGAATTTCCTTCTTTTGAATGTTCAGGAATGGAATACTCGAGCTTTGGAAGTTGTTGATCTTATCCACAGCCGAGATATTTCTTTTTTGTATATGTATAGACGTAGGATAGCTCTGGGAGGATTTTAAAGCCCCGGAATTTGTGACTTTTCGTCAAAGAGGAACCAATCATAGTGGGAGAGTATGTGTCGCGATAGGTAAAGATCTAAAGACAGTTAGAGTTGAAACACGAATTGCAAACACAGTTATAGTAGATATAGTAGGATTGTCTGAACCCATTCGAGTTATAGGTATTTACTGGCCTAATAGTCAGGATCGAGATCTCGATGACCTTTTACCATACGTAGCTGAAAATACAGTATTAGCAGGAGATGTTAACGCATCTGTAACGGGATGGGGGATAAATCAAAAAAACAGACGGTAAAGGATGTATTTTGCAAAAATGGATTGAAAAGAATGATTTCTCTTTTATCCCAGGTACTTTTAATTCTTCGCGGCGTTCAGAGCGGAACATAGATTTTATATTTGCAAATTTTGTAGGTCTAACCGGAGAAACGTTAAGGTGTGGGACGAGTAACCACTGGCCGTTAGTCTACACATCAAAGGGTATAAGTTTCCAAATCTATGCAAAGTTTCCTCGTGTTTAATGGAAAAAGTATGAAATCATACTTTGTTTACTTCAAGACTTTTGGTTGGAGGAACAAAGTAGGGCGTCATCATTTGAATGGTATAAAAACTATATCCGCTTTTTATCTGCGTTAAATCGAATCCCTGTTTGGGTGAAACGGAAAAAATATTATTATAATATTATTCCTCCTGAGCAGTCCGGTTTTAGGCAACTGCCTGCTTCAAACCAGAATTCTCTCTATGCACCAAGAAATCCAAAACAATTTAGCAGGCAACATCCCAGCTCTAGCTGTGTATTTTGATTACAAACAAGCATGTGATATGGTGTGGCATGTAAGATTTATAGTTAAGCTCTTTAGATTACGCGTGCCACCGTATCTATTAAAGCTGATTTTATTCTGGTTGCAAGGGAGAAAAGCGTATGTGGTTTTAAGTGAGTTTACTTCGAAAACGTTTGAGTTACATGTGGGTCTACGTCAAGGCGGCTCACTTAGTCCATTTCTTTTTATTATTTTTCATTCAGATTTAGAGTTGGGGCAAATGCAGCACACATTTTGCTGATGATCTAGCAGTCTTAATCTCGCCCCCAGTTAACGTTGATCTACGTACAATGTTAGATTATTTAAGTAGGGAGGGCTCGAAAGTATGTGAGCGAGTTCACGAATATTCTGTCCTCTGGAAACAACTAATCAATCTCACTAAAACAGTTGGACAACTATTTTATTCTCAAGTAACTAAACCGACAATAGAAATTAATTTCTGTGGGTGGAAGTTACAATTGGTTTCAGAATTTAAATATCTTGGTTTTATTTTGACGAGTAAACTCTCTCTGAAACATATGGTTATGAAATGCTTACTAAATATAGAAAAATCATATGCAAAATTGAAATGGTTAAAACAAAACCGACAGCTATCAACCAATGTGCTAC